TGACACCGCCCGCCGCTTGCCGCCTGCCGCCTGCCGCCTGCCGCTTGCCGCCTGCCAGGCGGCTGCCCGCCGCCTGCCGCCTGCCGCCTGCCGCCTGCTGCCTGCCAGGCGGCTGCTGCCTGCCAGGCGGCTGCCGCCTGCCGCCTGCCGCCTGCCGCCTGGGAGGGCGCAGAGGCGGTGGTCGCCGCGGCCGCGGATTTGGGCTTGCAGGTGGCCGTCAAGGAGACCCCGGACCCCCTCCAGTACGCGGCGGAAGAGCACCCGGAGTTCAACTGGAGCCTGCAGGCGAAGCGACCCTACCGGGAGTTCGCGCAGGTGCGGGACGCCTGCCTCGTGCACATCTCCCTGCGCCGAGTGCGGCCAACGGCTCCGACTTTGCGGACTTCGTGGCATCCCTCCTGGCTCCCGTGGTCAACGTGCCTCACGAGGACGGCGAGAAGCGCACCACCTTCGAGTTCTTCGACGGCAAAGGCTTCTGGGTACCCAAGCACAAGGACGACATGGGGGCCCTCATCCGCATGAGCTTGAAGAACCTCTCGCGGCCCGGCCCCTTCACTCCGCCGGAGCCGCTCAACGACAGCTGCTGGACCAAGAGCTTGGTGGACGAGATCTTAGGCTTGCTGAGCGGGCACACCATGGCTCCGCTCGACGCCGACAGGACGCGGGGGAAAGTCCTGTACTCCGACGGGGTGGTGGTCGATTTCGCCACGGGGGAGCGGAGGCTGGCTCAGCCGTGCGACCGCATGTCCTTGCACGCAGAGGCGACCTCGGCAGCCTGGGTGCCGCCTGTTCCCACGCAGCTCTTTAGCAAAGTCGAGACCTTCCTCCGGACCCTGGAAGAGAACGAGGAGGGGCTCGCGGTGGTGGAGGCCTTCGAGGAGCTCAAGCCGCACTCCGGTCTCCTGAAGCTCCTGAGGAAGTACGGCTCGTGGCTGCAGGTGCTGTACATCCTCCGCCTCTTCGCCCGGGCGATCGTGGCTCTGGAACGCCTGTGCGAGCTCTTCTACCTCCACGGGCCGGGGTCCTCGGGCAAGGACGTGCTCATGCTGATCCTGCTGCGCTTCCTGGGCTACGAGCCGCAGCACTACGGGCTCCTCGTGAGCGGTCGCTACTTCGTGGCGGGGGCGAAGAGTGGCAAGGAATCGGCCTCCCCCCATTTAGACCAAATGCGCGGGAAACGGTTCATCTGGGGGTCAGAGGTGCCAGAGCATGAGGATTTAGACACAGACTTTTTAAAAGCTCTGTGCGAGCAAGGCGGAGCTCCGCTGACAGGGAGAGGCCTCTACAGGAATCCCCGGAGCTTTCGCCCCATGGGCGTCTTCTGCGCCACCAGCAACTTCCCGCCGAAGGTCAAGCAGATCGACGACGACGGCTGGGCCCGCCGAGCTCGCGAGTGGCAGACCGAAGCCCGCTTCGTGGCCAGGCCGACCAAGATCACGGAGCACAAGGCCGACGACTCCCTGAAGAAGAAGATTAACGACGGCTGCTTCCACGCAGAGATGAACTTCTTCGCTCTCGGCTTCTTCAATTCTCTCTCCGAGGAGCTGAATCCGGGCACGGAGCTCCTGCCCAAGCCCCCGCAGATGGTGCTTCTGGAGGAGTGATTTCCCGCATGCCAACCCTC